CCTTCACAGTACTCAAATCATGTTTTTTTAAAAAAAGATAATCTTTGGGGGCAGGGGATGTGGCTCAAGTGGTAGCACACTAGCCTGGCATGAGTGTAGCCCGGGTTCAATCCTCAGCACCACATACAAACAAAGATGTTGTGTCCTCTGAAAACTAATTAATAAATATTAAAAGTTCTCTCTCTCTCTCTCTCTCTCCTCTATCTTTAAAAAAAAAGAAATATCAATGTCTTAGGGAAAATAAGTAAAATGCATGTACTATTGTGAATAATATGAATCAGGGTATAATTGATTAATAAACTTTGTTGTACCAATTCTAAAAGTTCAAAAGAATGGGCATCCTAGAGGAAGAGACTGAGAAAGAGGATGGGTCAGTAGGATAAAGCATGAAATTTGAACCAAGGACTCTAGCTTGCTTTGTTTGCAAAAAAATTTCACAAATGAGTTTGGCTCAGTTTTCTTTTTCCTTATCAATTATCAAACAAGCATTTTTAGATCATCCACCCTATGCCAAACAGTGAGGGCCCCAGGGAGAAAAGGCTCAATCTCTTGCCACCAAGGAACTCCCTGCAGGATCAAAGAAAGACTTTCAGAGGAAATGGACTATGCATTGAGTCTTCATGTAAAAAAAAAAAAAAAATGAGAGCCAAAAAGGAGTAGAATTCCATGCTGAGTGTAGCAGGCATCATTAGGTTACCTATACCAGAATCATTCACTACAGTTTCAGAGCTAATGCTGCCTTGATTTTGTGTGGCATAGCAATGTATCCAGTCCCAAGAGATAAATTCTAATGTGTTTGAACCTATTGCTCTTTGCTACATCCTTTTTCAGCCTCTGTTGTAAGGCCAATATATTATACCTAAGGGCTTTTTTTATCCCCATGTAAAATGATACATAATCATGATTTGAAAGCCTGTGTTTCTGACCATTCTTTCCATCTTACGATGCTGGCATGTTTAGGCATTAAATATGCCTAAAACTGCCACAGTCACTTTGTGACCCAGAGAGTAAGGTAAGAAAATTACAGAAAAATCATTTCAGTTTCCTTGATCACTTCACTGATTTGAATCACCTCTCTTCTGATCTGTTAAATGAGAGAATAAAATTCTTTATGTTGATATTATTAGGCCACCAACAGCCACTTTTCTGGGAAATGTAGCCCAAACAGATTTTCCATGACAGGAACACATGTGAGAACTCAGAGGCAACAAAGAGCAATGAATGTAGGGAACCACAGGGTAGTTCTTCATTACTTGAATTTAGAGAATAAGGTGGGAAAAAATCAGAATAAGTCTGAAAAAGAAAATAGCAACATGACAGTGAGTACTTCTGAAAGAAGTGCCCAGCAAGCCTTGACTCTTTTCCTAACTAAAGAGCAGTATTAGGCCAGGTTTTACAGATGAGCATAAGGTAGAGCTGAAGAAATATGCAGAATTCAGAGCATAGAAAGTTTGTCTAACAATGCTAGGAAGCCTGGCAAACAGTTGTGCTCTCAAAAGGCTAATCTTGCAACTTTAATTTGAAAAAAATAGAGGCAGAAAAACTAAAACTTACTACAATAGCATAGGCAAGAAGTGATGGTGTCTGAACAAAAGGGGACACCGGTGGAAATGAAAAGGAAACTACATGGTTCCAAGTTATTTAAAAGTGTAGAATGTATAGCTAGCTCTCAATCATTGGCTAGGTACAGGAGTGCAAAGAAGGAGCTCAAGGCAAGATAGTTCTTTGTGGCACAAAATACAGCCTTGATTGTGTTTGAGCCCTGGCTGCTTGCAGAGTTTCAAAGAGAAACATCTTTTTATCTTTCTCTTCTTAATTGGTCTTCTGAATTTTCAGGAAATTTTATCAATTAAATGTTTGGGGTTTCCCACTATTTAGAAAAACATGAATAAAAATACCACTTGTGGCCAGCTGATAGAAATGTGAGAAATAAGATAAGGGGGAAAAAAACCAAAAAAAACAGAATGAGGAATGTATTCTCCCTATTTCCCATGTCACACACTAAAAAAGTGGTTTGAATCAGTTAAAGGATATCTCAAAGATTTGAAATCCTTTTTTAATTTTCATTTTTAATTGACACATAACAATTATATACATTTATGAGGTACAGTTGGAAAGAGCAGATTCGGGTAGTTAACATATTCATCACTTCACAACTTCACAAACTTATCTTTCTGTGTGTTGAGAACATTTAAAATCTATTCCTTTAGCAATTTTGAAATATGCAATGCATTATTAACTATACAATAGACACCAGAATTTATTCTTTTTTCCTACTGAAACTCAATATCCTTTACTAAACTTTCCATTTTCCCAATCTGGGCTCCTCCTTTCTGAAATTCTATGTCTTAATATGGAAGATAGTCACAGTTATGGCAAGGAGAGATGGGAACTCAATGCATTTGGCCATCGAAGATAAACCAAAAGCAATTATAACATACTCGAACTAAAAAATGTGACTCAAATATATGCAGACTTTATCTACTTTTTTTCTGATCCCTGGAAGAACAGTAATTCTTGCTAAAACTTCTGTCACCAATTTGGGATCAGGGAATTTCAAGTTTTCAAAAGTCACTTAAAATCAACAATTCCTATCAGGAATTGAAAGGTCTCTGATTTATCATTTAGCAGAAGAGATATTGTAAAGAAGCATTAATGGAAGCACTCAGGGCCTAGGAACAAAGTTTGGTTTCTAGGCCTAGATTAATAGTCATAACTAGCTATCTTTTTGACATTGCAAAAACAGCAATGTCAAAACAGCAAAGTCATGTAGCAAGTATAAGGGGAACCAGACTAAGGAAGTGGAAAATCAGAATCATATAATCTCTTTATTTCTCATCCAAGTCAAGCAAAGGGCTGGCATAATGATAACATTGCCTATCTGGTAGTTCAAGGACAATTCCATTTAATGCATCAAAAATAGCCATTTAAAATTTCAGTACATTAGTAAATTATCAGTAATTGTTGCTTATCTTATTATTGCAAACCTGATTCTATATTGGTGATCTTTACATGAAAACTATATACTAGTTACATTTAATTTTAGTTTAATTCTTATTAAAGAAAAAAATAGTAGGCAATCCACAAGGAATAATAAGTGCCACCCTTATTATAGTAGCAAAGTATAAATTTTAAGATTCCAAGATGGTATGTAGATTGGACTACAATCAGAGTACTAGTACTAAAGTATTATGTTCAAGTCCTCTCAAGTAATAAAGACTCAGACCCATTTTTCAAAAAAAATGCATAGTAGTTGTCTAGGTAAAAATGGTGATGAGAAAATTATAACAATAATAATTGAGTATTTAGTACTGTCAAGTACTATAATACTATATTGACTACAATGCTACATTATCAAGTACTTTATAATAAGAACCCTGTTTTCGATAATAGCCTTTAAATTTCACTATAGCTTTATAAAGTAGTATCATTATAAGATTATTTAACAGGTCAAGAAACACTAAGTAACTTACACAAATTCCCTGAACCAAATGAGACAAAGCTAGAAATATAACTTATTTCTGTCTAACTTCAAAGCCAATGCCTTTTGGACACAGGATAACTTCCTACGCATTTTGTTTTTCTGAGCAAAATAAACTGAATGAGAAGTCAAGTGAATAATATGGGCAAGTAACAGAATTTGGGATTCACTGAGGGAGAATCTTAATAGGAAGTTAAGAGAAGCAACAGAATATTATGGTTATTTAAAAAAACTAGGACTAAAACTTACTAAAGAGATAAAATTACCTTAGGATGTCTCAGGAGAAAGTTGGAAGCTTCTTCAAAATACTCTAAATCTATTTTCTGTAGTTGGGAAGGCAGGTCTTTATAGCCCCAGTAAGCCAAGGCCAATGAGGCAAAGCCACGACTGGCAAGGAGACTGGACCGGTGTTCCAATAGTCCACCAAAACCTCCAAACAAATCAATTACTCCTGGGAAAGGGCCCTCTCCTGAAAAAGAAATAAAATAAAATAAAACAAAACATGTTTGTGTATGAAGGATGAGGAAAAGATAATAAAAATATGAACCCATAAGGGAGAAATGCAATAGAAATTTTGAAATTAATGTATAAATTTTTAAATTGAATCCCCCAATTTTCAGCCTTGTAACTGGGACTGAATTATGGCCTATTGATAAGGGAACCATTTGCATAGTCTTAGAGTAAAGAAAACCAGAAAATTGGGCCAGTACTTCTTAATCCATAAAAGGTACATAAAAGGTACAAGTTTTCCAGACCTCAGGAAAACTTAGAAGGTCCTAAAATTATATGCAAAAGTAGAATATATGTTTAAGTGTGCATTTTACTGATGAGAAATGTTATAGTTTAGACAAGCATGTGGTAAAGGCTTGATCCAAGAGTGATGGTATTGGGAGATGGTAGAAACTTGACAAGATGGAATAACAGGAGGTCTTCAGGTCATTGAGGGCATGCCTTTGAAGGGACCCCAGCTCCTTCCTTTCTTTGTCTTTTGCTTCCCACATGGTGAGCAGTTTTTCTCCACCATATATTCCAGCCAGAATGTGCTGCTTTGCCCAGAACAACAGGACCAATCGATTAGGGACTGAAACCTAAAATAAAACTCTTTTCTTTATACATTTACCATGTCAGGTATATTATTATAGTAATGAAAAGCTAACTAACATGAGAATCCAGAGATTTAACTGGGTTCTCAAGGAAGCACATGACTCAAAAATATTTTTTGTTAAAGATTACTTTTGCTACCATCCTGGCTTGATACTGCTCAGTTACACTAATCTGCTACTTAGTAATGAAATCTCCCACCTAAGCAGATGTAAATGACGAACTCTTTCACTAAGTAATGCTCATTATTCCCCACTCCCTAACACTTGGTAAAAAGGAGACATGGTAAGAGAATCATTCTACACTCCCTTTCTGAGGGAGTCCATACATTAAAAGAAATTTATAGTGCATTTACTGGGAGAATTCTATTGTTAGATATAGGATTTTAGCTATGGAAGACAGGTACCATACACATTTAAAAGGAGTGATTTGATTTAAATGAGTATTAGGAATTTTTAAAAATTACTATATTCACTTTGAGAAAGAAAGAAATGATAACTTAATATCGCTTGGTTTTAAAATGCCATTTGAGTAGATGAATAAGGATGTTTTCTTTCATATTCTGCTTGGAAGGAAAGGGAAGAACTATTAATAGTACTGAGTACCTTATCTAGAAAGAATGTTGCAGTTGAGAAATGTTTTTGAGACCCAACTCAATCTTTTTATGGCCCACACAACTCACCCTTCAGTGTTCCCATAGAACAAACACCTCAAGTGGAAAATCTAGTATTATTCAATGTCTAAAGGGTTCACAAACAGTACATCCTGAACCAGCACACCATCCCAACATGGCAGAACTGTATCAATACACAAATTTTTAACAGGGGTGGAGTGCTAAAGAAACAAAATTTTGTGCTACTTACTTCCTGGTCCTGTATACAATAAAGTGATCTATATGCTAATTACTGGCTATATAAAATTCCAATTTATCCAAACAAGTACATGGGTCATGGCAAATTTGAAAAGGGAAGATTTATTCCTTCTACTCTACCTCTAACTCTATGTTCCCAGAAATCAACCTTAATACATCAAGGGTCCTCAAGCCCTCTGTTATAGTTTAGATAATAGGCGTCCCCAAAAAACTCTAGTGTGAGAAAGTTTAGAGGTGAAATGATTGGACTATGAAAGCCTTAATCTAAGCAGTGCATTAATCCCCTGATAAGGATTAACTGGATGGTAACTGTAGACAGGTAGAGTGTGCTGAAGGAGGTGGGTCACTGGGGACATAACTTTAGGGTATATATATATTTTGTCCTGGAGAGTGGAGCTGTTGCTTGCTTCTTCCTAGTGCCTTGTCCTGAGATGCTGTCCCCCATCATGCCCTTCTGTGTTAATGTTCTACGTTATCTCAGGTCCAGAACAATGGGATTGGCCATCTATGAACTGAGACCTCTGAGCCCTAAACCAGCTCTTCCTCCTCTAAAATTGTTCTATTCAGGTCTTTTGGTCATAGCAGAGAAAAAGCTGACTAAAACACCATCTCAGTTCTATAAAGATTAAATAAAGGCAACATATTCTGATGAGGTGATGGCTATGTCCCAAATAAAAGCACTTGTTTGAGGCAGTAGGCCTCAAACAGATCAGAAACCTCAGTCTGGTGAAGTCTTCTGGGAACTATCTTTGCTTCATTCAGAGTCAAAATAAACTCTGACCAACAGATATTTAAAACTGTTTACTGGTATGAGGAGATCACTGTGGGAAATAATTTGTATTCTGGTAAGTTTTATGGCCATTAGGAAGAATGTTATATTATCTGATTTATGGAATATTTTATAAATATGCAATATTTATGGACTAATGGGAATAAAGTTTCTTTGCATCATATTCATTTGTTGCAGTCTTTCAATCCATCACATCACCAGCTTATTGTGACAATAATGCAATAACATTAAACTGAAATGCAACATGATAGAGCCCCCAAAGGTGCTGGGACACAGTTTCTGTGACATCAAGATAAGAGTCTTCAGAATAGTCAGGCTATAATGCAGATAAATTTAGTATAAATCCAAAACTTTGGAAACCCCCACAATGTAGGGATTCCATTAACTATATTAGTCATATCCTTAGACAAGCTCCAGGCTCAGAGTTGGAGTGTAATATTAGCACATTCTTGTTTTGATGTCCTAAAGTTAACTCTGATTCTAAGGAAGGCAAGGAGAGCTCTATGTATTATCCACATCAAAACTAAATTGCTAGAAGGATTAAGTATTCAAAAGAAGAAGTGCAAGGATAATAACAACAGTAATTCAACTCACCAGAAGGTAGAAAGAGGGCTCCTCGAAGTCGGCCTTCCTCCACCTGGATCCGTGTGACACCAGGTGCCACATACCACCTTTCCAAAGTAAGGCTGACCTTTGAGGTACTAGTAACTTGATTTTCTAGTGGTAACATTAGGTCACAAAGTTTTATTTGGACCTGGAAAGGGCTATTCATCACATCTCTTTTCAATAGTCTAGTTGATAGCTTTTCAGGTTTCAAGGACCAGAAGAGACCCATAGGATGGACTCCCACATAGTCACCTCCAAGCGCAGAATCATGTTCCAAGTCCACCTCACCAACTTTATTGGCCCTATAGTAGGCATGAGAATAAAACATGTTCTCCTTCTCATCTTTCAGTGATGCCTGAAGAGTCACAATCTGAAAAGGAGTCAGGCCTGTAATCCGGATACGCACCGGCTCATCAACAAGTGCACTTAGAGGAGTACCTGTCAGCTGAACCATTTCTGCTATGTGGCAATTTCAGATAATTCTTTAGGAAAATCTTCAACAAAACCTCAAAACTGAAAGAAAAAAGAAGGAATAAAATAAGTTAATAAAGTTAATGAATGGTGAACTAGACCTGGAGTCCGACCTCTTAGGATTCAGTTTTAAGTCTCCAGTGGTTTAGCATATCCTATTGTAATCTTCTAATGCAAAATACCTGAGGGCTTTCAACAAATTTCTAAAAGACAAAAAGCAAGACGATAAGTTTTATAATAATGAATCAGGGTTGAGGAAGCAGCAGTCCAAATGCACATGAATGATGTCAGTACTTCAAGGACATATCACAATTTGTCGTGTGGGAACTCTTGAAAAATAAGGTATAATGGATTATAAAACTGAGAGGCAGCATTGAAAACAGAATGATTTATTGAATATGTCTCTAAATAGAACAGCTGGCTCCATTACAAATCCTCTCTCCAAACCCTGTAAACAGAATGTCTAACATCGAAGAATTTACCTATAATTGCACTAAAAAATGGAGGACCTTTTCAAACTACAGTAAAATCTTTCAAAAACAAAGCTGATGTGTGTATTTTTTCCTAGAGTAAAAATATCTACCACTTTGTATTTAGGATTTAGCAGTTCTTAAGCGAAACTAGAAGCTGACAAGACGTTCAGGGACACAGAGGTCTTACTGAACTTTTTACCATCTCACTTTTAAAAATTAATCTTTTGGTTAATTTGGAGAAAGCCACAAGAGTGACCACTCTTCTCTCTCTATTAATTATAACTAGCTGAATAAACTAAAAAACCAAAGTTCATTTAGTTTTTGACTTTGTTTCATTTTAACTCATTGGATTGCTGAGAATGCCAAGAATCCAAATGAAGTGAACACCAGCAAGTGACGCACTACTCATAGGAGATAAGAAATTTTCTCTCCTACATGCTGATTTTCAATTATGATAAAGCAGAAAGAAAGAAACCCCATGGAGAAAAGTGAGAAATCAACAGAACATTTAATGGACTTTTAATGAATATGTGGAGGCTAGTTTGACAGATTAAAATTCTGAGAAACTCTAACCACAGACTTTCTCCATCTGCTGACTTTCTGTAGGACTGCATCACATGCTCAAGGACAGAGCATCAAAGACTGAGTGCAGGGAGGCAAGCTGGGAGCTGAGATAAACTCTGAGGCAATGCAGGCCTTTGTATAAGTTAAGGCTGCTGCACTCCAAAGGTTGAGGGGAGAAGGACAGAGATAGATGTCCCCACACTCAGGAAGCATAACTGCAACAAAAAACCCCTAGTGACTCTTCTTCCAGAAGAACTGCAAATCAGAATTCCCTAGTTTGAAAAGCTAGCATGGCCATAAAGCACAAAGATATATCCAGATGTTCCTTCATGCTGAGACCCCAGGCTCTTCTGATGAGAAAAATTCAATCCACAATGAAAACTTTAGAAACCAATGGTGCACTGGACCACACAAAGCCCAGATTCAGCTCAACTACAGATCAACCTGTTTTAGCCCCTAATTTTCACTTCCGGACAGAATAAATAAAAACAAACAAACAAAAATCCTTTCCTGGAGGAAAGTCTTTATTTATTTATTTATTTTTAGTCATCATTATTATTTTTTCAGTGCTGAGAATTCAGATTTGGGGAAGGGAATGCTAGGCAAACACTCTACCACTGGGCTACATTCCCATACCTTTTAATTTCAGACAGGCTATGCCTAAATTGCCAAGGCTGGCCTTGAACTTGTGATCCTCTGCCTCAGCCTCAGAGTAGATATATTACAAGTGTGTGCTTCTCTCAGTCATTATTTTTATGCAAAATATCCAGGAGTCAATTCTTTAAAAATTATGAGGAACAAAAGAAGTTTTAAAATCAACTCATGATTATAAGAGAAAACAATCAGTAGAGTAGAAACAGAAATGGCCCAGATATTGGAATTATGAGACAGAAAATGAAAGAGTAAAGGACCAATCAAAGTAAGACAACACAATTGAAAGTAGCAAAACTAAAGTACAAAGAGAGAGAGAAAAAGAAGAGTGTAAAAGAAGACCAGAACACTTGAGATGTGTGGGACGATATTAAACACTAATTAGACACAGAAGAGAGATACAGAAGACACACTTGAAAAAACAATGGCTGAAATTCCCCCCAATTTGTTGAAAAACACCATGCCACAGTTGCAAGCAATTTGATAGAGGACAAAAGCCAAGAAAACCACAACAATTACATTACAGTCAAACTGGTAATATAAAGAACAAATTTTAAAAGCAGCTGAGAAAAATAGAATCATTACATTTATGAGAATGACTAATATAAATAATATTTGAAACAATGAAAAGCCAGAAGACAAGAAATTTTAAAGAACTTAAAACACTAAAATGCCTTATCTAACAAAAATATATTTCAAAAATGAAGGGAAACTAAAGTTATTTACAGGAAACCTCTGAGAAATTATGTAGGCAACCTGCACTTCAAGAAATGCTCAAATATTGCAGGGAATTATCCCAGATAGAGAACTTAATCTGTTTGGGAAAGATGAAAATAAAGAGCCAAAAATGTAGTTATCTGAGCAAATATGAAAGTCCTTTTTCAAAATTTCCTCATATGTGTATGCATGTGTGTATTTAAATGTAATTAAAAGATTGTTTAACATTAAAATAATAAAAGAGTATAAGATGTAGAAATGACAAAAAGGTGAAAGTGGGATTAGTAGAATTCTCTTGTGGTAAGAATCTTCTTTCACTGTTTTTTCAAGTTTAAAAAAATTATTTGCAGGTAGACTATGATAACTTAAAAGACCTGTCAGAAGTTCAGCTGAGCTAGGAAAGAAAGGGAGAGCTAAGCTGCCTGCTCCTCTGTCCAGCAGCCAATTAAAGCAACAAGCTAAAACCAAAAGGATTAAGCCATCAATCATAGCAAAAGTCTGAACTAGAGAAAGTGCTCAGGCAATGCAGGAAGAAGGTCAAGGGATCAGCCCAGAATCAGAGGCCATCTCAAGGTGGAGGGAGTACCAAATAAAAGGCTCTGGAAATTTTATAGACCCCCTGGGGCAAGGAAGTGGAGGGGAAGGTTTAGGAATTGGGAAAATAAATTTTCCCCTTCCTCAGGGCATATGGAGGCCTCAGCAGAGGTGCCTGACAAAACTTGGAAATTGGACTTGATCAAAAGTCTGAAAAGAGGCCTAAAAATAGAAGCCCCTGAGCTAGAAATGCAAAAATGTGAAGAGCATTGTGGACCTGAGTCTGACAACAACTCTTTTCAGAAATTGCAATGTGCTGGCTTATCATGAGGTCATTTTATCGCTCACTGTGTCACAATGTCTGGTATTTCCACTGCAAGACTCAAAGGCAAGGGAATAAAATCATCTGAGAATCATTCTTTTACCTATTTGGGAGTTCTTTCACATAATTTTCATTATATGTGAGCCTCACTGTGATCTTTCTACAGAGGTTAGTTTGAGTTTCCTCACAGGATGGTGTGTTATAAGGGCAAATATTTCAAGAAAGATAGAGCCAGGTAAAAGTATAATCTCTGTCATTTTATATTGGCTGGAGAAGTCAGAAGCCACCATTAAAATTCAAGTGGAAGGACATAGGCTTCTACAAGCAGTGGGACAAATATCAGTCACATTTTGTGAAATAAAAAAAGGATGTGGGATGAGATGCGTATTTGTGCTGCCATTTGCAATCTTTGGAAATACAATCTGCCACAACAAGAAAGGAGGAATAAAGGAATAAATAATAAATAAGGTTACTAGAAAACAAAATACCAACACTGGAGATTTAAACCCGATTATATTAATAATTTCATTAAATATATGTGTACTAAAAACTCCAATTTGAGGACACATGTTGTCAGACCAGTTCAAAAACCAGAAACACATTGTAAAGATTTACAGATAAAAGTAAAAGGGAAGAAAATTCATGCAACACAAACATTGAGCAAAAGAAACTAGTGGGGCTATATTTAGCGACTTAGATAATGTTTTATATAATTACATATTTATTAATATATCTCAAGCTATATATTAAGATAGTTGGAGAAAATGAAGGATGTTTCATAAGAAACAGTTTATCCAAAATATTCTAAACACATATGTACTCTGCAATAACAAAGAGTTTCAAAATGCATGCACCAAAAAATATTCACATAATTGAAGATTTTAACACTCGGTAATTTAAGCTCATTTTTTTTTTAAAAAAATTAGTACAATACAGAAGATTTAAACACTTGCAACCAACTTTATCTAATTGACACTTATAAAACACTATACCTCAAAACTTCAGAATATAAACTCTTTCTAAAGAAACCAGCGTACTGATTTTTGCTTAGAATGTAGAGGACTGGACGTAGAAACTTAGAACGTAGGACACTGAATGTAGAAAATGACCTAACAAAGTGTTTGAATCTCTGATTACTGAGCACTTAAAATGACTGCCCTAAACAATGCATGGGTCAAAGAAGAAATAACTAGAAAATGGGAAGATACTTTTAACAGAATGATATTGAAAACAAAATATATTAAAAGTCTTACAAATTTAGTTCTGTGAGGAAGGGTACAACCCCCTCTTGCAGGCACTTATTCACAAGGCCAGGGGCAGCAAGAATACTTTAAGCTCCAAAACTCATGCTTTGTGGACAAAAGCCTTCCCTCTCTCTCTTCTCCATCCACCCTTCCTTCAAAATTGCCTGGAATACTTCAAGCTCCAAAACTCCAATATCAGATGCAAAGATAACGGTCTTTCAGACTGTTAAACCAGTTCCTACAATGACTTGTATAAGATCAAAGCCTATATTAGAGGGATGAGGAGGCTAAAGGAAAGGTCATTTATTTACTATCAATTGATATTTCAAGCAAGTTCAGTTCTGAAACCACCACTGGATATGCTGTATGTTGTTCATCCTTGTGATCTTTTCGACAAAAAATATGGTGAAGGGAAGGCAGAATCTGGGTATAGCAGGTTTGAGGAATGAATATGATATCTGAGTTGTTCAAGAATGAGACACTGAAGGCTGAAGGGTGGGTCAAGGAAGAACTTACTGTGTATGTTATTCTGGGTTT